TTTTTATTTACTTGAACTAGATAGGCTTATTTTTAAATTTCCTTTGGAAAAATAAATATGTAGTAATATCTAGGGAAATCCTGAAAAAAAAGCAATGAGCAGGGATGAGTCCTAAATAATATAGATGTTAAAAAAAAATAGGGGTCCGCCCCGTGGCTTAGTGGTTAAGTGCGTGCACTCCACTACTGGCGGCCTGGGTTCGGATCCCAGGTGCGTACCGACGCACTGCTTCTCCCGCCATGCTGAGGCCGCGTCCCACATACAGCAACTAGAAGGTTGTGCAACTATGACATACAACTATCTACTAGGGCTTTGGGGGAAAAAAAAGGTGGAGGACTGGCAATAGATATTAGCTCAGAGCTGGTCTTCCCCAGCAAAAAGAGAAGGATTAGCATGGATGTTAGCTCCGGGCTGATCTTCCTCACAAAAAAATAAAAATAAATAAATAAATAAAAAATAAAAAAATAAAATCTATAACTAAAAATGTGTGATATTGGGACATGAATTAACAGAGACTAACGGAACAGCATAGACAGTACAGAAATAGACTCAGGTACATATGGAAATTTAATATATAATAAAGATGGCATTTCAAACCACTGGAAAAAATGAAATGTTTTATAAAATAATTTTGGGAAAACTGAATATCCATTAGGAAAAAGATAAAAGTAGTTCCATACTACCATCAGAGCTCTAACTTTAAAAAATAAAACCTGAATGTACTAGGAGAAAACATCAGTAAATGCTTTGTAACCTTAGTTTGAAGAAACCCTTTAAACTATGCGTCAATACCTAGAAACCAGTAAGTATATGTTGGTAAATTTGATTAGAAAAAGATTAGAAAAAAATTGGATGCGGGAGGAAGAATAGTACCACAACTGGTGTCAATATAAAATGACAAACCAGGAGACGCTATCTGCAGCTTATAGCTCATATAAATGGATACAAAGACATAAATAACTCTTAAAAAATAAAAGAAGACCGGGGCAGGCCTGGTGGCATAGTGGTTATGTTTGTGCGCTCCGTTTCAGAGGCCCGGGGATCACAGGTTCAAATCCCGGGCACAGACCAATGCACCACTTGTCAAGCCATGCTGTAGTGGCGTCCCACATAAAGTAGAGGAAGAATGGCACAGATGTTAGCCCAGGGCCAATCTTCCTCAGCAAAAAAAGAACCAAAATAAACAAAAGAAGACCAAAAGACAAAAAAATTTGATAATGTAGACAAACATTAACAGAGAGTAAGCTAAAACAACTATGTAAATGACATATTATATATATGTTATATTATACACATATAAAGATGCTCAACTTTTCTTCTAAAAGAAATGCAAAATGAAATTAGACAATGTACCTGTCACAAGTTGAGTTTCACAGGAAGCCAACTGTGAAATGAAGATTGGCCTGCAGGACAACTATTACAGAGGAGATCAATGGCTTTGGAAAGGAGGGGAAGGTAGCAAGATTGGCCAGAAGAGTTTGAGCTGCAATGCCATCTGAGTGAAGGCTTCAGCTGACCCCACAGAGAGTTCTGGACTGGGGTGGCCCTTCAGAGAAGTCCCAAGTTAGTGTAAGAGGCCTGGGCTTCTATACTACAACATAGACCAGGGTGTCCTTGGACTGGAGTTGCCTCTGAAAGGAGGTATATGATCTTTGGCGAGGACGTTGTCTTCAGTCCAGGCAATACCCCAAGAAGACTGACAGCTGGGCACCTTCTTCCAGCAGAACTTCTAGTTACTGGCCAAGTAGGTGCTTCCTTCCAGTAGGGAGTTCTGGTTGGCATATCACAGTGTCTACCACAGCACCATTTCTCACCTACCACACTGGCAAAAATTCAAACACTGAACAACATATTCTGTAACATGTCCATGGGAAGAGAGGCACCTTATACACTGCTGGTAGATGTGCAAAATGGTACTTTCTTTATGGAGGAGTATATCCCGAAGATATTTCCCTGCACATTAAACAACAAACATATACACAGGGTTAATCGCTGCAGCATGATTTGAGACGGGCATCATTGGAGGCTAGTTTGGGACATCCACACAACGGAGAAATATGTAAGAATAAAAAAGATGGAAGAAGATCTATAACAATGGATATAAAGCATATCTCACACTCTCTCTAAATTATATATATATATGTGTGTGATTAGGTTTACACTTATGTTTACAGCGATAAAATATTAATTATTTTAGTTATAAAAATTTCTCCTTGGACTGGCCCTATGGCGCAAGCGATTGAGTGCGCATGCTCTGCTGCGGCAGCCCGGGGTTTCCAGTTCGGATCCCGGGCGCGCACCGACGCACTGCTTGTCGAGCCATGCTGTGGTGGCGTCCCATATAAAGTGGAGGAGGATGGGCATGGATGTTAGCCCAGAGCCAGTCTTCCTCAGCATAAAAAGAGGAGGATTGGCAGATGTCAGCTCAGGGCCAATCTTCCTCACACACACACGAAAAAAGTTCTCCCCTAGAAAAGAAGAATAAATAAGAACCTCATTAGGTTCTTATTTTCTGTAAGTGATGAGTGAAAATGGGATGAGACCAAGTCTTCTCTCAGTGTACATATACATATATATAGTATATTTTTGAAACTTGTACGTATTTTTAAAAGAAAATTAAATAAAAAGAATGAGGACATCAAAGTCTAAATTGAAATATTAAGAGAAGGAAATGCACCTAAATGTAAATCAAATGATATAAATTTAAATTGGAGATATTACTAAGAACACACACACATACATGTGTGTACATACACATGCACACACAAAGAGAGAACGTATGGAAATCTATCTCCCTATCTATCTATCTATCTGTCTATCTATCTATCTATTTATCTATCTACCTCTTCTGAAAAGGCCCAGAACTAATAACAGAGTAGCAATGAGCACATCTAACCCTAGATCTTGATCCTAGTACCATAATCGGGTAGGAAAAAGTCCTTGGAGAAGTGATTGATTACAGATATGGGACAGAGGAAGTAAAATGACCTTAGAACATTTTATTGTGCAGAAAACAAGGAAGTGCTCAAAGACTAATGTAATCACATCCAAAGAATAAAGGGATTGCCTTGAAGGGGTTCCCACTAACCAAAATTTGACAATTTCAGCATCATAAAGAATATCAACAGTAATGGAATATAACATATTTCATTAAAAATGTTTATGTCTATAGTAATATGAGGAGGAGAGGGAGAGAGTGAACATATGTGAAGGGAAAAAGTAGGGGAAGTGCTTTTTACAGACGAATGCCACCTAATAAATATAGAAGAGATGTTAGAATTATAAAATCACTTTGAAATGATAATTTATTCAGGGAAAGGTTGTGAATGGATGCCAAAACTACTGAGTGAAAAGTTCACGGAAAAAAGTTATTCACATACACTGCAAGTATCATTGCACTTTTAATTACAAGGCATAATGTACTTTTACAAGAAATATATCTCACAGTTACCATGTAAACAACATTGTCATGAGTGGGAAGATGTGAAATTATGTGCTTCCTATATGTGCTTCCTAATATCACCTATATAATATTCTTGCCAAAAATGTTTAGCCTATATTAAATCATAAGAAAGCAATCATATAACTCCAAAATGCAGGACATTCTGTAAGAACACTGGACCAAGAGGCTTAAAAATGGTCAATGTCATAGAAATCAAAAAAGATAGGATAACTGTTTTACTTTAAAAGAGACTGAGGCAGCCCAATGCAATATGTAAAGCTGATTGGGTTCTGTATTTAAAAAATATATAAGACATATGTAATATATATTTATATATAGAGAGAGAGAGTTACTTGGGTTACTTGGGGCAGTTGTGGAAATTGGAATAGAGACTATGTATTTAGATGATATTAATGTTAATATTCACAGGTGTGACATGCAATTTGCTTATGGGAGAAAATATTCTTAATCTTGGATAAGATATATTGAAGTATTTAGGGCTGTAATAGCCTGATGTTTGCAACTTACTTGGAAATGATTCAGCAAACAAAAAATTGATGAGGGCAAATATTCAAAATGTTGACATTTGAAATGTTGAATCCAAGTAAAGATTGTATAAGTATTCATTGCACTATTCATTCAACCCTTCTGTAGGTTTGAACATTGTCTCAATAAAAAGAAAATAAATGAGATACAATTTCATACTCATTAGTTCCACAAAACATTAAATAGTCTGAGGATATTAACTGTTGGTGAGGAAGTGGGGGAGATGTGAAGCACCAGAAACTCATATTGCTAGTAGACTAAAAGTTGGGACAACCTAGGGAAATACTTTGTCTCTATCTGGTTAAGTAGAATACACGTACATCCTCTGACCAAGCATTCCCATTCTTGGCGTTTGTCTCAGAAAAACACTGCCATGTGCATCAGGAGACATTAAGAAAACTGTTCATAGGCAACATGTTTTTAAGAACAAAAATTTGGAAACAACTCAGCTGTCAAAAAAACAGATAAATTATGCTCTATTCATTCAACTAAATGCCATTTAGCAATGAAAATAAACTATGGCTACAAGCATCAACATGGATTAATCTCAGAAATAAATTATTGAGTGAAAATAGCAAATCTTACAGTAATGCACATGCTGTAAAGGTTAAAAGTATATACCACTTAGTGTTTATTTGGAATAAAATTTATTCTGAAATGTCTTGTTTAAAGATGTCCAAGCTACACAGCTGTTGATTCTTTATGTGAGAGTTATCAAAGTCCTATGTCTGTACCAAATGCCAAGACAACATCCTATGTCAAGGTGATTCACAGGTCATCCTTACCCAGAGGTGTTTTTCTGCATGGTTTTCCTACACAGGAATAAAGACACCCTCCTACCTGGATCTATGCTTATGTGAATGTGTGTGCATTCTTAAAATTGAAAATGAGAAACCTAATGTTAGCTGAGAATTAAAGAATTAAAAGTGACACAGGCAGTTAGTACTGTCGTGTTGACCAGAGAGATGCTGTTTAAATAAAAAGAAAATCAATATTTTCTATTTCTTTGCAGAGTAAAAGTGAGCAGGTTACCGTGCGGCATCTGACATCAGGAAACTGGGAAGTGATAAAGATCTTGGCATACGATGAAACGACGCAAAAAATGTGAGCGTTTTTGGTTCTCTAGTCAGATTGGAATTCAGGGTTGTCAAATGCAATCTTTTCCGCCAGATTTATGTTTTGCTTACCACGGTCCTAGTCCAAACAACCTGGCCATGTAAAGAACAATCTTTTTTTTTAAAGACTCTCCCTATATTTCACCCAGAGACACACTTACACAGACACACTTAGACACATGCACACCCAGATAAATTGAGAGAGATCTTGGAAAAGTGTGATGATATTTTAAGAAAAAAACACATATTTCCCAAATGGATCAAAGTCCTGTGGTTGAATAACAGAACAGCTCTTGCCTGTTCTTTGACGGTTTGAAAATTCCAGCGAAATCTCAGAGTGCCAAAAATTGATCTGTGCCTGATATTTGTGTTGTTTTCTTCCCTGAGCAGTTACTTTCTGAGCACAGAGACTTCTCCCAGAGGGAGGCAGTTGTACAGGTAAGCAACGTGCAAGGATCTCCCTACACAAGTTGATTTCTCAGTGGCTATCTACACAGCACAATGATCGGATGGAAAAGTCTGAAATTTCATCTTTGACACGGCTAAGGGAGAGCCACGTCTATGTGACAAAACCTCACACTCTTGGTCCAGTCCCTTGGCTCTGGACCTTTGTGAGCCGAACGCTGGAACCAGAGTGAAGACCGTCTTGTTGCTCTTTCCTTATTTTTTTTCCTCACCTGCTTTTGCAGTCTCAAATTTTTTTTTTAAGGCTTGCTTCTCTCAACTACCCACATCACAGGCATTTACATATTTTCCCTTGTGGCCTTTTCCTCTGCTGAGCCTCATTTTGAATTTTCAGTGCATTAATGTCATGTCCATATAATTTATTCCTAAACAAAATAAAAGCATTGTGAATACTTAGTAGAGTGGGTAAAGTAGAAGTTTCTCTTTCTCTCCTTATAGTTTGTGAAATCCACTACGATTGTTGTTTAATCCTGGCATGCTCATTCCTTACTGAAATAAAGCAATGGATAGGAAATATTTTCCTATTTCCCAATTTTCCCAGGTGGAAAGTTATATTCACAAAAGGGGCTAAGGTCACACCTGTTTAGTATTAAAATGTCTCTACTCAGAAAACTTGCACCACAACCTCACAAGAATGACTTTTATTTTTGTCTGGCAAGCAACTTATTAATTCTAGACTTTACATACACTTTCTAATTTTCATTTCACAGATCCATTTTTAATGTGTCAAAACTGCCATGGCATAGTCTCAGTGGAAATTCATGTTTGAAGAAGTGTCACCATTGATTCTTACCAAGTAGCCTAGACTTTTCTTTGAGAGTAAAAATGCATGTTTAAAGTACCCTAACTCCCTCTAATTCACCCACACACTTATTTATGAGTAAATTGCTTTCATCTAGAGCAAGCCTCTCCTTTTTATCACCTCTTCCAATATGTCATTTTCATGTTCTTTGTTTTTTCTCTTGGAGCCTGGAACCCATAATCTCAATGGTAATGACTTCCAAAGGAAGAACAGCTGTTTATTTAGAGAAACTGATTCTAATTTTGGTTTAGAGATCTTGACTAAAGTACTGGTTACTTTTTCTTTTTGGCGACCTGAAGCTTATTTTTCTTGAAACATATACTATAATTGGTATTTGCAGTTGTTAACAATACTTTAGAGACATGGAAACACTCGATCAATGTTTTATTTCTCTCATTTTATAAAAGTCTTAAAGAAGAATGACAATGTCAGAAGATTAGACTGGGCCAAGTTCAGCCAGCGGAACTGTTTCGAGATCTCTTCCCTTTATTACCTAAAATGTGATTTGAATCACAATGACTCCTTAGATTTGTATGCTTGACTTATCTCTCTAGTGACTGAGGCAGAACAGTCAATATAGCTATGACTTGTACGAGTGTAGCAGGCTGTGTTATAAAGAAAATGTAGTACCGATACATTTCCCCTTAAATAGCTCATCAAATGCCAGTTGGCTTGACTGTAAGATAATGTTAGTGTTAAACACAGAAAACTCATGTCTTGCCCAGGCCATAAAAAAATCATTAGTTGACTTAATTTATGGAATTAGATACCCCTCCAGAATCGGAACTGTTGCCATATTCAGGGTTACAATTTTGTCTCAAAATTTGCATCTCTTTATTTCAGCAATTTCATAATCTAAATGATAAGAAAATATCATCATAAATCCCTAGGAAACTTGGATCTGAAAAGTTATTTGAAGGAGTAGAGAGACAAGAGGTTTTAAATTCTAGTTATGTTACTAAATAGCTGTGTGCAACTGGCATGCATTCTTAGTCTCTCTCTGGTGATGGTTGCACAACATTCTGAATGTAGTTAATGACATTGAACGATATTCCATAAAAATGGTTGAGGTCAGCCTGGTAATGTTTAAGTTCAGCGTGCTCCGCTTTGGCGGCCTGGGGTTCACAGTTCGGATCCCAGGTGTGGACCTACACACTCATCCAAACCATGCTGTGGTGGCAACCCACACATAAAAAAATAGAGGAAGAGCAGCACAGAAGTTAGCTCAGGGCCAATCTTCCTCACCAAAAAAAACAAAAAAAGATTACAGTAACAAATATTATGGTTTTTATATGTATCATAACTTAAAAAAGAAATTTATAGATAATTTAAAAGAGAAAACAATTGAGTATGATTACCTTGTAAGTTTTCATAAGGGGAGGGTAAAGTGTTTAAGTGTCGAGTGTATATTAATTGCCTTGACTAGTAAAGCAAAAGTTTGATTTATAATCGGCTCAAAATGTTTCATATGTGAAATTGTGACTTTGTGAACTCTACTTCACATTTCTTCTCAATTGCTTCTTGTGCTTCTGATGCCCACATCAACACCCCTGTTCCCATCCCCATCCCTGTAGCATCTTGCACATCAAAATGAACCTTACTACGATTCATTTATGAATGTATAGCCAAAATCATGTGTCGTTCCAAAATGAAGTTGAGACTATTTTGTCCAATCAAGTTTTATTAAATGTATCATCAACAGTGTTTTCATCTATCAGCATAGATAATTTATGATTCATCATTATTTATAAAATAAATGATTCTATACATGAAATGTAACCTTGGGTAAATATCTCAACCCCTCTGACCTTAAGCACCATTATTTGTAAAATAAAGAGATCATTGCTTTTCTGTTTACCTACCTCGCCAATATCTCAGAGTAGGTATGATCGTCAACATTATATATATTATCATACAAAAATAATTTTTCTTTACCAAAAATTTCAGTGCAAGTATTTACTGAGAAAAATTTGGCCTTGATATTAAATTTTAATATTTAGAATGTTGAATTTAGGAAATCATAAGCTTGATTTTTTGTGTGACTTGTGAAAACATTTATTAGTTCTTTCAACTAATATTTTTTGAGGGTGACTTTATGATAGTCTCTGAGGTCAATTCCTTTTAAGACTTTACAAAGAAATATCTATAAATAAAATATAGATAAATTATATTGGGTCCCATGGAAATCAATTTCTTTATTTTTGAGCATACATTTGTACATATTACTATACATACAGGTGTACATAATTTTAATATTATTACAGAGAAGAGAAACCTGTATGTCTTAACTTCAGTAACGGAAATTAACTTTGCGTTTGTATGGTAAGTCATAATTTACAAGGAACCTCAATGTAAGAATGCTGTAGCTCCTCTTTTTAACTATAGATGCCACATCTTCAGGTATCTGGGATGGTAACATTTCTAACTTACTTTTTCTTTCCCCAGTGCTTCTACTGAAGGATTATTGAATCGTCAATGCATTTCATGTAATTTTATGAAAGAACAATGTACATATTTTGGTGCCAGTTTTAGTCCCATGAATCAACATTTCATATTATTCTGCAAAGGTAATAGATGATTTCTGATGAAATTTATTCATTTTATTTGATCAGAACCTATTGCTATCATTAGTAACTATTACTCTCTAGCTATATGATTTGATACTCTTTATTTTATGTCTTTGTTAAAAAATTATAAATTATGGATTTACTGAGATATAAATTTTGTTCATATACTTCATTTAGAAATAGAATTGGGAGTAAGTTAACATGTACACAATTAATAAGGGCTATGTGAAATGGACCTTTTAAAAAAGTGAATAAACATATTTACATTAGCAAAGTCATGCTACAATAATAAACTAATTTACCTAGTCTTTAGGATAAGCAATAATCCTCTTATTAAAGTAATGGCTTGGTTGTTAAGAGATTTAGGATCTACAGAAATTTAATCCCTGGGTATAGTCCTCTTCAATTCTGAGAAATTACATTCACCCCAATTACTTTTTCTATCTGGTAACAGTATGACCGCAGTATGCTGCGGTCTTATATGGTTGTATGGGATCTCTAGGTTATGTTGATAAGAATCATTGTCCCTTTAATAGGATATTGTAATTCCCAGAGATGAAATGGGATTCATGTGCCCTCATATAATGTGATGGATTGAAGTGCTACTACCTCAAACTTTCTTATTTTAAGACACCACGAATAGACCAACACTTGCTCTTTTTAGTTATTTTTTCTCTTGATATCTGAAATGAAGTAACCAAAAATGAGAAGTATTTGTTTGCTGACAGCAGGGAAAAACCATTCGACCTCCAGATAGAGTTCCTTCGAGAAATGAAGTTTCAAGATAACATCTTTGGTTACATCTGCATTAACCAGTATATTTGAAATAACTGGAGAGTCCAGTTAATATGTATATTTTAAGTTAATATATCTTTAGCCCTCAATTCTTATTTATCTCATGGATGAAATATTTCTAATATGCATGCATTCTTTTTTTCTTGACTGAGAGGTAAACAGAATTTGATCTTGGATGAGCAGATGAGAGGTCCCAGGTAGTGAATCAGCTTACTGAACATCAGTGACTATTCTATAAAAGACTACAGAGAGTAAGGCACATAAGATTGACTAAAACTATAGAAATACAGAAGTATAGGGCACTTTGGAGAAGGGGGGATTGTAACAGTAATCTTTCTGAATAGATTTTTCCCCATATATTCTTACTTTTCTGAATAAAATGTGCATGAAAGGAATGAAATCTAGATATCTGGTTTCTGTTTCATTATGTTTTACCTGTAAAATGCTTCCATTTGGAAAAATAAAACAAAACTTTGTCATGTAGCTTTTCCAGTAATGATTACTTAGATGTCTTTAAAATATTTCTATATATATATTTTTAAAATCCAGGTCCAGGGGTCCCTGTGGTCAGCCTACATAGCATGGACAATCCAGCGAGTAAGTACACAAGCAAGACAATGCAGAATAGTCATGGTTGGCATTCGTCTTAGGTATTATATTATTTATTCTGAGTGTTGTACTCTGTAGTACCTTCTTAGAAAGAGTGCCCAGCATGGGGAAAGCTGTGTAGGCACCATCAACTTGACCTCGTATATGTAAAAGACACAGTAAAACAAGTGGTTTGAGCCACGTTACCGCTGGAGTTGAATCACATATGCCTGAAATAGGATGTCTACAGTATCTAAATTGAATGAAGAGTGATTGATGAGGTTCATTTAAGTACATTTCAGACTATTGGCCCCTTAGTGCTCTAGTTCACTCTTTTCTGGGTCTTGTATGGATTATTCCTCCAGAGCAACAGATTTTATGAATTTGTGGGAAAATTATGAAAAATATATTAATTTATGTATTTTATATCGTGTTTGTTCCAGACATCTAGGGCTTCTAGTTTTATGTATTTATTTATTCTTTTATATATTTATTCAACTGTCTATCATCTCTTGAGTGAGCACTTAATTTATCAAGCATATAGCAGAGGCTGGGTGTACGTTGCTAGTAAGATCTGATCAACGTGTTTAAGAATTTATACTAGGGCCGGCCCGTTGCTTAGCGGTTAGGTGCACACGCTCCACTGCTGGCGGCCCTGGTTCGGATCCCGGGCGCGCACTGACGCACCGCTTCTCCGGCCATGCTGAGGCCTCGTCCCACATACAGCAACTAGAAGGATGTGCAGCTATGACATACAACTATCTACTGGGGCTTTGGGGGAAAAAATAAATAAATAAAATTTAAAAAAAAAGAATTTATAGTAGAGTGCATAAGTAAATACATGGTTGAGCTAATTTTAAAAAAGAATAATCAGATTGCTTGCTTTCTTCCATGTTTTTTTCCTTCTTTCAATTTTAAAAACTTATTTAATCAATACTCATGCTATAATGATTTACATAGGATACTATAATCTAATCAATGAGACATTTATTACCTCATTTAATCCTCAGAATACGCCCTGAGATAGTTAATTTTGTTATCCTCTTTGACAGATGAGGCAATTGAGTCACAGAGAGGTTAAATAACATGGTGAGAGTCATACTAACAGGTGGCAGAGCCAGGAATCAAATGGAACAATCTGACTCCAGAATAGAGTTTGTAATCACTACTGTATGAAGGCACCTTATTCTATTGTGTTTTCGTCTCTCGCATCACATGCCTATGTTTAGGTAGGATGCCTTGACTTAAAGGAGATGCTGGCATAAAAGTGTACTGTTGAATAACAAACGTCATTTTTAGAGATCAGAAAAAGACCTTTTATACTCTTCAAATACCACCATATGGGCCGGCCCTGTGGCTTAGCGGTTAAGTGCGTGCGCTCCCCTGCCGGCGGCCCGGGTTCGGATCCCGGGTGCGCACCGAGGCACCACTCCTCCAGCCATGCTGAGGCCGCGTCCCACATACAGCAACTAGAAGGATGTGCAGCTATGACAGACAACTATGTACTGGGGCTTTGGAGGAAAAATAAATAAATAAAATCTTTAAAAATACCACCATATGGAGACTTCCTTCCTTGTATAGAAAAAGACAAAATTTCTAAATTTGCAATGAAGCTTTGTGTGGTTGGAAATAGATTAGCATGGCTTTTAGTTTCTACTTATTAGTATAAACCTTAAAAAGGTTATGGTAAGCAAAGGAAATCTGTTCAGTATTAACACTCACAGAAACAATAATGATAATAAAGATAGTATATTTGATAAAATAGAAAGAAGGTTGAATTTCATAGATAGAAAAATCAGTGTATAAAATGAGTCCATCACATACCTTTTGTGGGATCTCAGACAAGTTAATATCTCATAGGATCGATTTCCTTGCAGGCAAATTAGCAAATGAATTTTTTGTGAGGATGAGATATATTTGCAACATGGGATGTACTCAATAAACAATTATTTGTGTTATATTGCATATTCTGCCAAAATGATGATTTTTTTTTTAAATTTCCAATCTGATTTTAATTAATTTTATTCTACTGCAATAAGACAATGTTCTTTTCTAACTTCTGCGGCAAATCGGGAAACATTTTTGTCTAAGGAAAATCTTTTTGATTTTCACATTTTTAAGCCAATTTTGATCATCTCAGGGTTTAGAAAAAACAAAAGAGGGCTGTAAACAGTGGTCAGGTGCTTAATTTTCTTTTCAAAAGACAATTATTTATTGAGATAAAATCTATATTCAATTGTAAGTAAATCTTTGGGTTAATGGATCCTTGGATTAATCTTTGTTATACTAATGAATCAGTCATACTCATTTTGGGGCAACATGAAGTAGAATAGAGCATGAAAAGAAAATTGAAAAAAGAAAAATGAAATTATTTAACATGGAAAACCTTTAAAGTCACTGGTTATCAAAGAAATGGAGAGTAAAACACTGCCATGTAATTCTTCTTAACAGATTAATAACATTAAAAAATTTACATGGCTAATGAGGATATAATGAGGCTCCCATAACTTGCTGGTAGAAATATAAATTATAGCAAATCTTTTGGAAAAAACAACTCAGTCATAAGCCTTAAATCTTTTATATCTCTTTACCGAGTATTTTTTCTTTTAATGGTTTATACTGAGGAAATAATTTTAAATAGAGAAAATCATAACAGCGCTATTGATAATAGTGAAAAAATATAATATGAATAACAAAAGAGGGGAATTTGTAAATACACTTTAATGGTATTAATTATGCACTGAATGTCTTCCATTTGTCCTTCCAGAACCACTTTGAACTCTCAGTTTTTTTCTCCCATGGCTCTGCTCCAGAAGTAGATTATATAGATGACTTAGGTTCTGTCGCCATTTGGCTGCCAATTGGAGTCACCTAGAGTGAATCCCGTAGGTGACTGAAGAGAGGGAGAAAAGTGATTTGGGAGTATCTATTCCTCCAGCCCCGTCCCTGTGAAGTTACCCCAGTTCGCTGTGACTCTTGGCTGGATGTCGCTGTGGAGCTCTCACACAACCATCTTCAAGTAACTGCTCTCTCCCCTTGACCTGCAGGCCTAGCCACTGTCACCAGCCAAGGGATCCTGTACTATCGCTTATCATTCCCCTACCAATTGTCCATATATTTGTAAATAGTCCTTTATTAAAATTGCATCAAATTATTCTAATAAAATTTCCATCAGTTTCTCGCTAGGATTAAAAATAAAAATGTTTACAAAAGCCAATTACTCAAAAATGTTTAAGCTATATTTCTAAGTGATTAAGGAGTCCAAATGTTTATGTCATTTGAACAAAACTATTTGAAAATGCATATAAAAATTCAAGGAGACAATACTCGCAAAAATTAAAATTCTTACATTTGCCTGGCTGCCTTCGGGTGATTTTTTTTGTTCTTTCTTCTTTAGTATTTTCCTAATGCTCTACAAAGAACATATATTACTTTTATAATGAAAAAGAAACCCATCATTAAAATGTTCAGTGACTTGAGACAGTACAAATATGTAAAATTTTACTTAGTTAATATTTCTAAAGTCCTTGATCTCATGTTATCATCATTCCTTTTCCTCTTCTTATATTTTCATCTTTTGCTTATATGATGTTTCTTTTCTTTTACTTTAATTATTTTTTCATCTCTCTTTCCTTCCTTTTTCCTTTCTCTCCAGTCCATCTCTTTCTTCTCACCCCTCTTTATGTTTCTCTTCTACGTTCTTATTTCTCCCTTTTGTCCTTCTTCCCAATATTCTGTTCTCTTTTTCTTCTTTTCCTCCTCAATTCCACACTTAAAATCATGTCTTAACACTTTTTTATTTATAGTAAATATACTACTATTTAAGTAACCTAAAATTTATTACATTTTGGGTATAAAAATAATCTCTGAGAACATCTAATTTTCCAAATTTATATTATAGAGGATAACATTTATTTACAAGAGAGGTGGATTGGTGTGCCTGAAATCACACATAGAATTCATAGTCCAATGCAGGAAACAGAAAATTGAATGATTATAATAGAATATGATAATTTCTTTGGTAGAAGTAGACACAGTTCGAAAAAGAGGAAATCAATGGAAAGACATTTCAGGAAGAAGGAGTGTGAATGTACAAACATAAGAAAGAATGAAAATCTTTATACTGGCAAGATAAAAGTTGTTCAACATGGCTGGAATAAAACATTTTAAAAATAAGGTAAAAAGATATAGGTTATAGGGGCAGGCTAGAGGCAGATCATAAAAGTCTTATGTTTCATTCTAAGGAGTTTGGATTTAACAATAAAGTATCAATGATAAACCATTGACAATTTAAAAAAAAAAATCTTATTCTGGTCATGGAGTAACTGGAAGTGGACATGGCCTCTTGCCAAAAAGAAAGAAAGAAAGAGAAAAGAAAAAAAGGAAAACTAGACAAAATATATGAAACGACAATTTTCAAGCATGGGACAACAGTCAGAATAGGTCTCTGATCCCTTAAAGAAGGGAAACAAGTGAGATTAATGATGTAATTGCTCGGGTTTTCTCGCTGGAATCATTTTGAATTCTAGTGCAATGAGGAACAATTCAAAAAGAGTATAATGGTATCTCAGAGTCAGAATGGAGATAGAAATTGAGTTCAGAAAGATTGAAACTTTTGGAATATTGGGACAGTGGACAGATATTGAAGAGGAAGAAGAGACATGGAAAAAGGACCCCAGAAATCTGCATAGGGCTGCAAGGGATCGTCTTGAATCAGTTGCTGAAAATACTTAGCTGAGCACGTGTAGGGAGACACTTTTTGAGCCTGGGAAAAGCCAGAGCTCACACAGTGCTGGGATATGATAAAGTTCCAGCCAAGTAGAATACTGGAACATTTAGGAGAGATCTCAGAACAGTCATGCCTTAGGAGTAGAGCTAAACTAGCCATACAGCAAAGGTCACTCAATCCTACACTGAATAAGATATTTTGATAAGCTTTGAATTCATGAACATGAAGCTGACCTGCAATTAGCTTCAACATCTGCCTGAACAAAGTCCAACAATTTTTAAAAGAACAGAACAAAATCCAGAACTCAACAGTGTAAATATCACAATGGTCAGAATCCAATAAAACATTACTGATTATGTGAAGAAGCCAGAAAATATGACTCATAACCAGGAAAAAAGCCAGTGAATAGAGACAAACTCAGAAATGACAAAGATGATGAAAACCACTGACAAATACAATAAATCAATGATTATAAATATACTTAAAAAATCAAGAAAAAGTGAATATAGGGAGAAAATAGAGTATAATCTTTTTAAAAGGAACTTCATGAACTTAAAATAAAATTAAAACTACTGGAAAATACTAAAAGCAAATTTGACACTGCAGAAGAAAAGATCAGTGAACTTGAAACATTATCAATAGAAACTTCCAGACCCAGAGAGAAAAAGAATGAAAGAAATGAACAGAGCTTAAGATAATTTATGCCAGTCTCTATATCTATAATAATTTTAATTGGAGCCAGAAAGAGGTGGCATAAAAAATCTTTAGTAAAATAATGGCCAGATCCAAATCTGGTGAAAAATACAAAATAGCTCAACAAACCTCAAGCAGGATAAATCCCAATAGGAAAACAGTGATAAAGGGGAAAAAAAAACAAACAAATTATCAAAAATAAAAAGACACATTACATCGACACATTACTCACATAGTAACAAAGCCAAGAATGCAAACCAAAAGACAATAGAGCAAAATCTTTAAAATACTGATGGAAAACAAAGCAAAACCCTCAACCTAGAACAAACTTAGAAAATATCCTTCAAAAGTGAAGCTAACATAAAGAATCAAGAGGAAAAGAAGCTAAGAATGTTTTGCCTCAGACTTGCACTTCTAAGTAGCACATAGATCAAAGAAGAAATTAGAAAAATAGTTAGAAAATATTTTGAACCAAATGAAAATGAAAACACAACTAATCCAAATTTGGGAATACCTAACTGTGATTAGAAAGAAATTTATGGCTCTAAATTATTACTTTGTAAAAAAGGAAAACTTTAAAATCAATAATCTAAGCTTTCACCTTAAGAAGCTAGAAAAAGAAGAGCAAATTAGCACAAAGTAAATTGAAGGAAGGAAATAATATAGAGAGAGTGGAAATGGGGCCAGCCTTGGTGGCATAGTGGTTAAGTGTGGCATGCTCTGCTTCAGTGGCCCAGGTTCGATTCCCAGGCACCGACCTACACAACTCTTCTGTCATTGACAATGTTGTGGTGGTGGGCTCACATACAAAACGAGGAGGATTGGCAGCAGATGTTAGCTTAGGGTGAGAAAAAATAAATTAATTAATTAAATCAAATTTTTAAAAAGTGGGAATGATATAGAAAATGGACTAGCAATAGAGAAAATATATAAAAATCAAAAGATTTTTCTTTGAAAAGATAAATAAAATTGACAAAATTCTAGATAAAGTCATAAAAGAAAAAGTACACTATCGTTACCATTTTCATTAATGAAATAAATGATGTTAATAACAGATTCTACAGGCATTAGAATGATGTAATGTTCATCAATGAACATTGATGTCATGTAACAGTTGATCAAATGTTTAATCAGATGTAACATTTGATGTAATGTAACATTGATCAATGATGCAATGGAATGGAATATTATAAGTAATTTTAGGGCAGTAAATTTGACATTTAGATAAAATCAGTAAATTCCTTAAAAGACATAAATTGCTAAACATTCAAACAGGAAGAAATACAATATATAAATATCCCATTATCTACTAAAAATTTTAATTCACAATAAACGTTCTTCCCACAGAGAAAACTCCAGCTTCAGTTAGCTTCACTGGTGCATTCTGTGCAATATTTAATGTATTAATACCAAGTTTACATAAACTCTCAGAATATATAAAGCCAGCATTAACTAGATTCCAAATCCAACACAGACATTACAAGGACAAAAAAAATTCCATATTTTAATGAATATAGATGCAAAATTCCTTAACTAAATACTAGCAAGTAAAATTTAACAATTTATAAAAGGATAGTGTATTATGACTATGCGGTGTTTCCCTGAGAAATCCATGATTGCTACAATATTCAACTATCAATGTAATTCACTACATTATACTGTCAACTCAAAGGATTCAGAAAAAAGCATTTGATAAATTTGAACAATAATTATAATAAATTAATAATCATAACTCAGCAAGAATAGAAGGGAAATTCCTTAACTTAATGAATGGTAGGTGTGAAAATACTACAACTGACATCATACTTAATATTGAAAGACTGAGTGCTTTTCCCTCAAGATTGGGAAAAAGTAAAGAATGTCTTCTTTCACCCCCTCTAGACAATATTATATTAGAGGACATAGCCAGTGAAATGAGGCAAGAAAAAGAAATATAAAAGTAGAAAAACTGTCTTTATTAGAAGAGGACATACTTGTAAATAAAACAGAAAACAAACAAACAAAAATATGGAATCCATACACACTCACAAAACTATTAGAAATAATGAGTGAATTTATCGCCCATTACAGGTGTAGGTCCATATACAAAAATCAACTGTTTTGTAAACTACAATGCAATGAAAAATTTGAAAGTAGTTCAAAATGATATTTAAAATAACATAGAAATCATACAATATCCAATAATAAATCTAATAAAAATGTATAAATCCCCTAATAAAAGCAAACATTCCTGGGAGAGATTAAAGAGTCAAATGGATATATATGCACCCATACATATTTATGAATTAGAAGGCTCACTATTTTTAGTATGTGAAATCTCCCCAATAAATCTATTGATTTAATATATCAATCAAAATTCCAGCAAGGTACTGTTGCTGCCTTCATGTTTTGTCAATTCTTTCTCTTTTTTGTGTGTTTGTTTCATTTTTTATCTTATCTATTGCTATATTGTCAAATTCATTCATCTTTTCTTCTGCAGTATCTAATATGCTATAAATCTCCCCCAGTATTTTTTCATCTTAAACCTTAAAGTGTTAATGTATCTCAGATTTTGAAGTTTTTATTTTTAGAATTTTAACTGGTCTTTTTTTTAAATTTCTTTCATATTTCTTCTTAATGCACTCATGCTTTTTTTTTTTTTTACCTTAATGAACTTATGGGATATAATATAATAATCTGTATTTTAATGTCATTATCTATCCATTATAACACCTGTGTCATTTCTGGGTTATTTCTATTGATTAAATTTGTGCTCAGCATGAGTGATATTTTCCTGATTTTTTGCTTGCCTGGTAATTTCTTATTGGAATCCAGGCATTGTGAATTTCATCTCATCGGATGCTACATATTCTTAAGCAGAGTAGGAACATGATCAGATTTCATCTTGAAAGTGTAAATGCTAATTCCCAGTATAGGGGCAACTGGAGAAAATGTCACTGGGATAAGGAAGCCCAGTTAGAAAACTGCTGTAGTAATTCAGGAGAGAAATTATGAGAGTTTCATCAGTGCCCAGCACAGTGCCCGCCAAATGGTAGCAGCTGGATAATTATTTGTTGTGTTGCATTGATTCTTGATCAACACATAGCAGTTAGTCATTTACACTACTCTTTTTGATTTATAGAATATTTTATATTGGAAAACAATTCTATGCTGAAGGAAGCTATCCTGAAGAAGAAGATAGCAAAGTCAGAAATTAAAATGCTTCATATTGACGACTATGGTAAAGTTCTGTGCATGCTACGTTATTTAAGAACAACTTTCTCTCATCTTATATTTTTACATGTAAATGACTTTCCATCTTTAATATTTTGCTCTTTCTTTAAAAGAACTTCCTTTACAGTTGTCCTTTCCCAAAGATTTTACGGACCGAAACCAGTATGCTCTTCTGTTATTAATGTAAGTATTTTATTTGTTTTTGAAATAAAGGAATCTAAAGATTTCATAATTTTTCTTATGCCTCACATGACAACATTCTGATTAAAAACACAACAGAAGAAGTTCATTGTGTGTAGTTAACCCGGGCAACTGTCTGTTTTATGAGTTCCTCAAGGATACCACCACTAAATAATACTGAGGGATGTGTAATTTTTTGTACTTGTTGTATCCCAAACAGAACTCAGTGTTACTACTGGGAATAGTGACACATATAGTTTGGTTTATGGATGTCTGCTTAGCAATTACTCAAGCCCTATGCCCTTTTTTTTCCCCCCATAAATGGTATTGGTTTATAATTTTCTTTTTGGGGGATATATTTGTCATATCAAAGTTATGCTAGGTTTATAAAAGCAATTTTTTATTGTGTTAAGAACACTTAACATGAGATCTATCCTCTTAATAAATTTTAAGCACACAATACTGTATCATTAACTATAGGTACAGTGTTGTACAGCAGATCTCTAGAACTAATTCATCTTGCATGACTGAAACTTCATACCTACTGAATAGCAACTCCTCATTCCCCACTCCTCCCAGCCTCTGGCAACCACCATTCTACTCTCTGCTTCTATGAGTTCAACTATTGTAGATGTCTCATATAAGTGAAATCATGCAGTGTTTGTCCTCTTGTGACTGGTTTATTTCACTTAGCATAATGTCTTTAGGTACATCTGTGTTGTCACATGTAAGCTCTATGCTCTTTTTCAGTTGTTTATGCAACTTGAGGAAACATTTATCTCCATTGCTGAAACAATTGGTTATATGTATATCACTCCTATCAATTTTCCTTCCTGGATTCACGTCTAGCAGGAAGTAGCTCCCATGCTCAGAAAACCTGACTGTCAGATTTTTCCAACTTGGAATTGGATTCACTCATACTTTCTGTGAAACTATATTGTGACTACATAGTATTGGGCACAGAGGCCCCTACCATCTAGTGGTTAACTAACTGGATATTGGTGTAACATTGTACTCCTGAGAGTTATTAGTTATTTTTCTTATTAAGAACCCAGCTAGCATATTGCTATGACAGTGCTTTGAATTGTCTAGACTTATTACTGAGCCTTAGCAGGAACAGTAGAAATTAAAATAACGTTACTTGTTGTGACTACTGAATGTGGAGGATAAGTATTTAGTCCGTGGAATCAAACTGCCTGGCTTCAAATTCCAGTTTTGTCATTTGCTAGCTGTGTGTCCTTTAGCAAGGTACTTAACCTCTTGTAAGGCTAAGTGTCCTCAAATATAAAATGAGCATTACAAACACAGCCTAGATTTTAAGGTTACTTTTTAGGATAAATGAAATACAACATCTCAAGTGCCCAGCACTTTACAATTTTGTGATTATAGTTCATTATTTTTTATATATATTGCATTAATTTTATTTAGATATTTTAATATATAGAAGCAATTTGTCACTTTATTTTAACAAGCCAAATAATACAGAAAATATAATACTTAATATTTTTCCTCACTCCAGTGTTTATTCCTAACTCCAATGCCTTGACCTCACTTAGTTTCTCATGCCCAGACCTTTCTCCTTTGTCCCTAATAGACAGAAAGTTCTTGGTGTCTTCCTGAGGCAGTTCTTATTTGCTCTTTCTTAACTCCTGGTTTTGTCTCTTCTCTTTCACCTAGTTTTCTTCAATTCCTTTTTGAGCTATATGTGTGATTTAATCAGGAAAATATTTAAGGTGCTAAAATGAGACAAAAGAGGAAAAAAAAACTTCAGTGTCATTTTCTGTCTCAGTCATATCTCCCTTTGGGAAAAGGGATTGATTGTTCTTTTTATTCACTGAAAAATAAGTTTCTCAGGGAGAGGAACCTTATTAGGCATCTTTCCTTGAAGCACTACTCACTACTTACACAGATGGATGTGTAGACAGTAATTCTCACTTGCATACCCACTGGCTCCAGAGGAGTGTCACACTTTGGGGGAAAAAGTAGAGAAGAGTTACAGATTCTGTCTGTAGGCTTGAGTCAGAGAAGCCAACTGGCTTATCTTGGCATCAGATTTGTGTTTTGGTCTGGCTAATTTTTAGTTCATAAGAGGAATGTAAGAACTGGCACAAGACTCATTTTCCCTTGTTAGAAAGGGATAATCAGGTCTTTTAGAGGCAGGATAGTAGAGTAAACGTACTGGCTTAGGAGTCAGGTAGGCCCGGCTTCAAATCTCAGCTCCAAGGTTTACTAATATGTTGTTTAGTTTTTCTAAACTTCAGTTTCCTTGTAAATAAATTGGAAATAATATCATGGGATAATTTATATAAACATGTCAGCATAGTGCTTGATAGAGCATAAACATTTGCACTTAGTGTTTAATAAATTGTAACCATAATCATAGTTATTATTATTAGTAGTAGTATTTTTAAAATTAATATTTAAATATTAATTAAAGTAATATTTAAAATTGTCAGTATATATATGTAATATGTAATTTAACATCCATAAAGTTATTTAATAGGCACTCATTATGAAAGCAGATAAAATAATGTAGTCAGGTCCATAGAATTTACTTTGGTACTTGAAGGAAAATGAGTATTAATATGTTAGTTTTCATTAGTTTTGGTATGCTGACTATACTAAGTATTAATTTACTTTATCCAAACTCCTTGGTTTTCAGAGATAAGTATTCAGAAGTTCTGCAGAGTATCCTTTACAAAACCAAACTGAGGATTTTTTTCTTTTTTGATTTTATATTTGTAAAATGATCTATTGCTTTAAGCTGCATGATCATTCCTGAAATATTTATGCTTGGAAACCTATATGGCTCAGAATGGTTTAAGGATAAAGTGTTTTTAAGTGTTTTTTTACATTACTTATAATGTTAAGGCATATTTTTTTTCTTAAGATTAAACCTTGTTTTCAGCGACAAGTAGACTCCCCACTGTAAAAAAGAAAATAATGGTAATTGAATTTTTTTTCCCTAAATCAGCAATTAGACAGTGAGGAATAATAAATAAAGTGACTATTATTTAAATGAGGCTAAGAGATGATTTGGTGATTTTGGCATCACTACTTTATTGCTATTCTGTGCAGTGTATCTAGTACCTGACAGACTGGGAGTCGTTTCTTCACCTACGCAGATGGGTTTACGTCCAGGAAATTCTGTGATGAAGTCAGGAGCTGGAGGCAGGCTGCAGCAAATACCTGAGCAGCTGGAAGGAAGACGGTCCTTGAAGAAAGCAGCCTCTGGCAATTTGGAATCCCCTTTCTGCTAAACTTTCATTAGGAAACCTCAGAAGAAATGGGCCTCTGAGGACCTCTCTGTGGCCACATTTTCTGAAACCCAAACCTAATTCCAAGATATCGAAAGTACAAGTGAATCAGTGGTGACAGAATATTTTACTGTAATAGAAAATCTGAGGAGCATTGCAACTACAATTGTACCTCAGTGGCCTCGAGTTACAGTGGTCTCTATGGGATCATGACCCCCTTATCCTTTCCTACTCATCCTATTCTCCTTCCAGATGCCTAATTGTCTTTCTCCAGTCTTTCTCTTTAACATTACAGGGAATCCTTAAGATTCTAGGAATATAATCCCAGGAGTCTATATTCATCTTTATACCTGTACTATATACATCTATATCCATTTGAACATTTATCACTTTGAAGAGTTGTTTTTTATGTTATTCTTATTTTCTGCTCATTATGTGTAGTTTAGTACAATACACATTTACCATGTTGCTTTTATGTGCAAGAAGCTGAGCTAATGGAGTCGGGAGATAAAAAGATTACAAGCGTCTTGAAATCTGTAATCATTTTTTAGATTTGTTAAGTGTATCTCCACAATGCCTAGCGCACATAGAGGAACCTTATGAAAACTTCCTGACTAGCCTGTAATTCTTTTAGTAGTGCAAGACTGAAGATTATGTGGGAGATAGCCTACACTTACAGATGTTTATTTGATAAATAAATAAATATGCATCTAAGTGGCTAGACCCTGGTATGAAGCAATCCAGACAGATGTACTAGTATTAAAAATAAAAGATTTTTTGTTTGTTTGTTTGCTGTATCCAGGAACAGATGCAATATCAAGCTGAGGAGGTTTGTTCAGTGCCAAGGAATTACCTTTTCCCATTTTCTACTCTTTCATGTCCAGCTTATTCAAGCCACACTTGATAAAGGTCCAACTCAGGGAGTCAGTAACTGTTCAACAAACTACATTGATTTCCAGAAGGCAACATTATCTATCATGCCCCTATGACTTCGTTCCCGCTTCCTGAATTCATCTTCCTTGAAATCCTAATGAATTTGTGGTCATCCATCAAGTCTTATCTTCCTGAAGCTTTCTTTCACCCTCCTCATCAGTCCATCTATATCCTATTACAATCCCAAATCCATGCCTCCTCCTACAGCTACAGCCTTCCGTCCAAAGGTTCTCCATATATCTTGAACCATATCAATCATATCGTCACTTTTCCACTTCACCCTAATTTTTGTGAGGATGTTTTTATGTGCTATGTAGGGAATTTCTGACTTCCACTAGAATTTGGACCAATGTTTCTGAAGGCAAATGCATAGTCTAGAAGTGAGTATTTACAGAAATAATTTATAGAATGGCTTATGGAATATTTCAGCATTTCAAGAAAATAGAGATGTTAAAATCTTTATTTTATGCATTCCATATATTAAACAATTTATTTGTGTATTCCTAATAACAACTAGCTTTTGCAATGATTAATTCCACAAATATATGTTGAATGAATGAATGAATAAATGAATGATGTTCAGAAACCAGATGAACCTGGTTACTATTACAGTTCTGTACTAAGCCATTCTAACTGGAAAGCATTATTCATTTTTATCTAGATGTTTTCATCATTCAATCAATGTTGTTCATGTCAGAGTCCTACAACTTGGTTATCTTATGGAAGTGAGCTGTTTACCAGCTCGTTTCTGTATAATTATTCTGTTAAATGGCAGGATATAATTAACTGATACATTCACGGAGAGTGAAATTA